TAGTAACACCCAAAGAGTGGTCATCTTCGGGGTAGGGGAGAAGGTATGGAATTTGTCGACCCTCTGTCGCTGATTGAAGCCTCGAGCAACGTAACGCGCCTTGAAGGCAGGCGGAGAACCCGGCGGCCGCTTCACCCTGAAAATCCACATGCCACTGACGATGTTCGCCCCAGGTGGGGGAACCTCGTCGACGTAGGTGCCTGTGGACTTCCAGGAAGCCATCTCTGCGTCCATGGCTGTCTGCCACTGAGAGGAGTACTCACCCAAGATCGCCTCTCTATAAGAGCGCATGGTGGGGATGTCAAGTGCATCCGGGTCTCCCTCAGGGGCAAGCAGCATGGTCGCAAGATGAGGTGCAGCGGTCGCAAGACACTCCAGCTCCTCCTACCTATCCTCAAGAATGTCACAGCCAAGGGCAACCTCACCCCCGACGAACGGAGGACAGGCAAGGTTAGGGTCAGAAACGAGACTCGCACGGTAGTCTAGGCAGTACACAGCAGCAAAGTCAACTAGCTCAACGACTAAGGCAGACGCAGCAGGAGACGAGAGCGTAGAGTCCGTCACAACCGTAGGAAGAAAGTGAGTAACAGTCGGACTGGACGCACGAGCAAGGTCAAACGGAGGGTCAGCACTAGCGGCAAGAGAAGACTCAGGAGGTGAAGGCAGGACAACATGCAGTAGAACAGAGGAAGGATGAAGTGTCATATCGTGAGTGCCTGGGACAGCCGGAGCACGAGAACGACGAACACGAGGAACACGAGCACAGACAGAAGCTCTAGTCTCAAGCTCTTGACGCTCAAGAGTGGAAGCACGAGTCTCAGGCTGTCGATGCGCAGGAGTGGAAGCACGGGTCTCAGGCTGTCGATGCGCAGGAGTGGAAGCACGAGTCTCAGGCTCTCGACGCTCAGTCAGGGACTCTGTCACAGCAGTGTAAGGAGCAGGAGCAGGCAGTGGGGAGTGGGGCAAGAGCTGTGGGAACAGTAACGGAGGAGTTGTACCAGCGATTGGGAACTCAGTAGGAGCTGGCGGAAGGGCGAGAAGGTGGCTAAGCGCACCAGCAGGTCCAGTACCTCCAGTACCAAGAGGACCTCAAGTACCTCCAGCAGTGGTAGCTCCAGCACCTCCAGCACCTGCAGCACCTCCAGCACCTCCAGCACCTACAGCACTAACAGCTCCAGCACCTCCAGCACCTCCAGCACTAGTAGTACCTCCAACACCTCCAGCACTAGCAGGACCTCCAGGACCGGTAGCTCCAGCACCTACAGCACTAGCAGCTCCAGTACCTCTAGCACCAGCAGCACCTCTAGTACCTCCAGCAGTACCTCCAGCACCTCCAGGACTAGTAGCTCCAGCACCAGTAGGACTGGATTCTCCACCGCCACCAGGACTCGCAGCACCCCCAGTCTCAGCACCCCCAGAACCAGCAACCCCACTCGCAGCACCCCCAGAACCCTCACCCTCCGCCTCAGCACCTCCAGGCTCAGCACCAGCAGTCTCAGCTCCAGAGTCCACAGCAGCAGGCTGCGGAGGCACCGAAGACAGCCTAGGGGGAAAACTAGGGGGGGTCTCCAAGCTTGGAGAGCGGCGAGTGGCCGCCGTGTCGTCAGCAGCGGGGTCACCCCCCTCAGCTGGGCCAGAGGAGTCAGAAGATATCTCCGAAGGCTCAACTTAGAGGGGTGGGTCTACCTGAGACACACTTGAGGGAGCAGGACCCTGTGGGGGGAGGGGGTCGATTGGTTGGGGGACTGGTACCAGGAAGAGAGGTGCGAGGGGCACAGGGTGGGACGCGTGCGGGTGAAGCCTGTAATAACAGACAGACTCGTCAAAGGTGACGTCCTGGGAGGAGAAGACTCGACGCGAGCTCGGGTGGTAGAACTGCCACGGCGGGGCGTCGGTGGGGAAGCCAAGGAAGACGCAGCGAAGAGTGCGAGGGGAGAGCTTGCTCGCAGTGGTATCGCGAACAAGGGAGAGCGCGCCCCAGACCCGAAACACCGACGCATCGCCAACCTGTCCCATTCAACGTAGTGTGGGCGAGGTCTCTGGCAAAGAGACACGGGGCCAGAGGTTGAGCTGATGCACAGCGTATCGGACTGCAAACGGCCACAGAAAATGGGGAGCAGCGACATGGATCATGGAGGTACGAGCAACCTCCATGATCAAGCCAATGCGACGCTCAGCAATCCCATTTTGCTGAGGAGAGGCCGGAAGCGTGAACGACTGGCGGATGCCCTCGTCTTGACAGAACTCCGCAAGGAGGTCAGAAGAGAACTCACCGCCCCTATCAGAGTGCAGACGCAGTACTGGCAAGTCCCGACTAAATCGATCGCGCAGCTGGCGTCGAGTAGCACGGATCCAAGGGATCAAAACACCGCTGACGTCCGCCTTGCGACGCAAGGGGAAGACAGTGGTGTAGCGTATGTAGTCGTCAACAACCAGTAGGAGGTAGCACTCCTTCTCCGTTCCACCGACGGGGGCCGGGCCCCAAACGTCCATGTGGAGAGTCTGCAGAGGAGCAGTGGTCGGAGGAAACTTGGAGGATTGAGGAGCGGCGCGCTGCCGCCCCTCGACGCAGGGAAGGCAGGGCGGTGCAGGCGAGCGCGGGAGGGAGGGCAGGGACCTGGGAAGCCCAGAGACAAGGAGACAGGAGTGCTGGCTACTAAGCCTAGGCCCACTTAAACCTAACTACTTATGCCACTATCTCAACATGGTATCAGAGCAGGTCGACCCTCCTAGGTCGATCCTGTTGATGGGCCCACCAAGTCTTCCGCTGCTGTCCTGCCTATCGCGCGCCTCGAGCGCGCGCTGTTTTTCTGCCCGTCGTGCGCCTCGAGGTGCGCGACGGTGCCCTGCCTGCCTGCCCGTCGTGCGCCCCGTGGCGCGCGACGGTGCCCTGCCTGCCCGTCGTGCGCCCCGTGGTGCGCGACGGTGCCCTGCCTGCCTGCCCGTCGTGCGCCCCGTGGCGCGCGACGGTGCCCTGCCTGCCCGTCGTGCACCCCGTGGCGCGCGACGGTGCCCTGCCTGCCCGTCGTGCACCCCGTGGCGCGCGACGGTGCCCTGCCTGCCCGTCGTGCGCCCCGTGGCGCGCGACGGTGCCCCGCCCGTCGTGCGCCCCGAGGCGTGCGGCGGTTTCGTCGCCTGTTGCGGCGCACCGGGGGCCCGCGCCCCCCCCCCCCCCCCCCCCCCCCCCCGCCTTTTCCCGTCGCCTGTCGAGGCGACCTGGGGGGGGCGCGACCTGGGGGGGCCGCGACCTGGGGGGGGTCGCGCGTCGCCCCCTCTGTCGCCCGTCACGGCGCCCTGGGGGGCCGCGCGTCGGCCCCTCCCGTCTTCGTCGCGGCCCTGCCCTGCCCTGCCGTCCTGCCCCGGCCCTGTCCCGGCCCTACCCTGCTGCCGCCCCTACTTCGGCCCTGCCCTGTGTTGGGGTTTGGGGGTGGCGAGTGTGGGGGTGATGGGTGGTGTGTTTCCCTTCCCCTCCTCCTCCTTTCGTTCCCACTGCTGCAGCTCCCGCTGGGGGGAGGGTGTGAGGGTGTGGGGGAGCCAGGGGAGTGGCATTGGGGCGGCGGGTGTGAGACCAACCAGCCCCCGTCCCTCTGAGGTGGGGGGGGGGGGGGGGAGGAGAGTAAAGGGGTGGCAGGAGTGCCTGCCCCTTTGCTGCTGTACCTGCTCTGTTACCTTGCCTGCTGTTGCTGTTTTCTCTATCTGTGGTGTACCCCTGCAGGTTGTGTTCTGCACTTAGCTATTCCTGCATGCAGTTACGGGGGGATGTCAGAATTATATTCTTATACCTGCATGTAGTTCTAGCTGTAATGTAGATATTAACTTTATAGGTGGTGCACCTCTTTGTTTGCTATATGTTCCCTAGTGCTATAGTGAACATCCATTCTCCTCTCATTTTCTTGACTCTCCCTCCTTGGCACAATCTAGCTCGACCCCCTTTGGCCTAGGCTACTAAGCCTAGGCCCACTTAAACCTAACTACTTATGCCACTATCTCAACACCATTTTCACTTTGTTTAACTTTCGAGGACCTACTGGTTGCGCGTCCAGTCAGTATGAGTTGGCACGCGGGCAAAATGACGTGCCAAAGCTCTGTGCACCATCAGAAAATCGCCCTTGCGCGATTCTGATTCTGGACCCTGTAAATTTTCGATTCGATTCAACTTACGAGACTGAAATGTACAATTTGGTGCGTTTAAGTTGTATTTCTGTATTTGTCGTTATATAAGCGCCGGCGCTTATGGCCGATATTCAATTACAAGCGCCCCCCTTAAAAAAACCGATTTTATTATAAGCGCATATGCGCTACTATCCGGGGTAATACGGAATATTTTTTACTCGATTATAAGCGCACCCCCCTGAAAAATCATGTTTTATTATAAGCACAGGTGCGCTTATATCCGGGGTGATACGGTAACATTGGAGCAGGTTGTGTATCTGGCAAGCCAATTCACCAAGACAGATTCATATCGCCCGTACAGGCATAAGGCAATATACCGTACGGTAACGGTATGAAATTGGAACCTGATGTAGAGAGGGTCAAGATGTAGCCCCTTCATGTTGCACATTTCTCGCACATTTACAGTGCTTGTATCGTGGCTCGGGACGGTTCCACATGGTGGAAAGCGGTTCTCAAGGTTTACCGGTTTGCACCGTCACAAAACGAAGTTGACTAGAGTGAGCGTACAAAAGTTGTGCAACCTGACGTCGCCCTAAAGAATGCCAGTGCACTTCCAGCACATGCTTACCAACTGTGTAATGATGGATACCGGAATGGGTTGGGTTCCTGTATGGACACAGTAAAAATAACAAAAAAACACTATATACACAGATACAAATATACACAAGGTTCTGAATCATACACACTGGAATTGTAAACACTCAGTGTGGCAACCTCGCAACTGAGCCACAACAAAACCCCATCACCTTCAAGAGCACACTAGGAGTAACAAAGTGGCAAGCCACGTGTCACCACCACACAGTGCACGGTGTGCAGCCATGGGCACATCACATGCGGAACACTCCATATCTGGGACCATTCTCCACAGGGGCGTGAGCAGTGGGCATGCCGGCGGAGGTGGCAGCAAGGGCGAGGGAGAGCACAGTGCGGGAGTGGGCGGGGTCGATGATGCCATCGTCCCACAACCGCGCCGTGGAGAAGAACGCTGACCCCTCGCTGTCGTACCGCTGTGCTATGCCCTGCTTGAACGCCCTCTCCTCCTCCTCGCCCCACTGCAGTGCACGGTATAAGTGGGACCAAACTCATGGGTGAAGTATGAGTGCATGGGTGCATGAGTGCATGGGTGCATGAGTGCATGAGTGCATGGGTGCATGAGTGCATGAGTGCATGGGTGCATGGGAGGAGGAGCGGAGGTGGTGGGTCTCACCGGAGTGCCATCACGTGCTCTCTTGTCCTTCTCCACTTGCGCCAACACCCCTGCTGCCTGCCATTGTACCGTGCCATCAATGCCATGCCAACCCAAGGGAAAGAGAACCACAAAGGCCACGGGGAAATCCAGGGAATGTTTCAGGGAGAAGTGTTTGAGAAGGTGGTGAGAAGCACAGTGAACGGAGTAAAGAGAGGCAAATAGCAATACCACGTTGCTCTGCCATCTGCTCGCCGCCCACACTCACCGCCCCCCCAGAATCACCTGTTGCTTGCCCATCGTCACCTGTTGCCGACCCATCCTCACCTGCTGGCCGCCCAGACTCACCTGCTGGCCGCCCAGACCCACCTGCTGGCCGCCCAAACTCACCTGTTGGCCGCCCAGACTCACCTGCTGGCCGCCCAGACCCACCTGCTGGCCGCCCAGACTCACCTGCTGGCCGCCCAAACTCACCTGTTGGCCGCCCAGACTCACCTGTTGGCCGCCCATGACTGAGATGCGCGCGGAGGGCCAGAGGAAGAGGAAGTTGGGCGAGTAGGAGCGGCCACACATGCCGTAGTTGCCCGCCCCAAAGCTGCCGCCCACCACCAGCGATATCTTGGGCACCTGCGCACGGTGGGCGCGAGTGGCACATGGGATGAACGGAGATGGAGGGTGGGTGGGTGGTGGAGGGACGATGTGAGAGATGATGGAAGATGTGAGAGATGATGGAAGATGTGAGGGACTCTCTGCTGTGGTTCTCCCAGTCACTTGTGGGACATGTTGATGCACAACTGTGGAAACATGCATGGACATGACATGTTGCGGCCATGGCACATGGCATCGGCATGGGCATGGCATACCTGTGCACATGCGACGGCCATGACCATCTTGGCCCCTGCCTTGGCTATGCCCGCACTCTCTGCTGCCCGCCCCACCTGCACACACAGAGGAGACGAGAGGAATGGGTCTGTGTAAGGGTGCCATACATGCATGCAGACACGGCAAGTGGTGCTAACTCTTGTGACACTTGGACTCACATGCCACGTGGACTCACATGCCACGTGGACTCACATGCCACATGGACTCGTACGGGATATGTGCAATGTGCGATGTGCATGCACCACGCCTCACCATGAACCCCGAGATGTTGTGCAGGAAGAGCAGCGGCACCCGGCGGTGGTCACAGAGCTGCACGAAGTGGGCGCCCTTGAGCGCGGCGTCCACCACCAGCACGCCGTTGTTCGCCACCACTCCCACCTCCCTCCCCTGCACGCGCGCAAACCCACACACCAGTGACTGCCGCCCGCCACAGGGGAAATGGGAGGGACCAGAGGGGAGGGTGGGGAGGGGGGTTGGAGAACCATTAAGTTAAAGAGAAACATTTGGAGAAGCAATGCAACCATCCTTTAAATGTTTCTCATAGAGCATTCAACATTTGGAGGATGGCTGCATGTGCACAGGTATGCCCATGCAACAGCACACTGTCTGCAAAGCGAGCATGGACCCACGGAGCCATAGAGGCGCTTGAACTCGTCCAGCTGGCTGCCATCCACCATCCGCGCGATCACCTCCCGCATGTCCACCCCCCTCGCCTCCGCCGCCCCCTCCTCCTCCCCCCCCTCGCCCTCCCCCTTGCGCCCCTCCCCCCCCACTATGGGCGCCAGCCCCCTGAGCTGCTCCGCAGGGAAGAGCGGCTCCTCCCACGCAGGGGGGGAGAGGGGCGCTGGTGAGGCGGCGGATAAGGCGGGGTGGGAGGAGGGCAGCGAGGCGAGAATGCGCCTGGCGATGGCCAGGGCGTGCAGCTCGTCTGGGAGAAGGGGGAGGAGGGGGGGTCGAGATGGATACATTTAGATCTTGTGGGCTGAGCCATGCAGGTGTGCACGTGGTATGGGGCCACGAGCAGCTCAGTGTGACAAGACAGAATGTGCATCTTTGTGTCCGCGTGCATCTGCCCACCCTCCCCTCTCCTCACCCCGCCCTGCCCTGCTCGCCAGAGCCCAAGCAGCTGTCACTCACCGCGGGCCAGGTGGTCTGTCACCCCCGACACTCTGCTGTGCACCGCCCCTCCCCCCAACGCCTCTGCTGTCACCTCCTCCCCCGTGGCCGCCTGCAACAGATGGCGCACACGCATGCACGCACGCATGCATCCATGCAAGCACACATACCGACGCACATACACTAGTAAGCACAAATGAACGGGAGCTCTCATGATGCCATTGGGATGCAGTCAGCCCAGCCAGCCCAGCCAGGCCTTCTGTATCACTTCAATATTTTGCCTTTCGTCTACCCTCATGTGTCTGCTGCTCACCAGAATGGACCAGAACTCTTCATTGACAGTCTGTTATTGCATATGCATGACTGTTCCAGCTGCCTTTGCCCGATCGTGTGGCTCATAGACAGCTTGGTAGCTGTACGGCAGACCCAGGGGCAGAGAGAGGTGTCAGATTACTATCCTCATTGTAACCTACATCAATCATATAAGCCTAGGTCAGAGATAGACACCCGAACTTAGTTAGGGTGTAGAACTAGGGTTAACCCTAGTTGGGGGTTGGATCTCAACCTTGGCCAAATTACTTGGCCCCCAAGGTTGGGTTGGGAATTATTGGTCCCCCCAATAATGTTGAACCACTTGGTCAACATTATTGGTCCCCTAACAATCCCTCAACCCAAATTATTGGTGGGGGCCAATAATGTTGGCTAGGTTCCCAACCAAACCCCTCATCCTAGCACTATGTATACCCCTATACTTCCTAATCAAGCTATCGCTTCTTCTTCACGTTTTCTCACATGGTATTCAGAGCCACTACGGCTTACGCCTTTCTCCGATCCTAAGGACCTCACGTCCCGCATGCCGTATCATGCCCCCCTCCCTCACACGGCTCGTTGCCGCTCTTCGCGCCTAAGTTGCGCTATTACGCCTTCACGGCCCCCCTCCCCCCTCGTACTCACGCACTCTCCCGTGCCTCCCCCGCATAAGTTACGACCGGCAGCCCGCTCCCTCCCCCTCCCCTCCCCTCCCTCACCGCGGCGCTTTCCGCCAACGAGGGCGGACACGACCACCGCGGCGGATTCCGCCGACGAGGGCGGATGCGACCACCGCGGCGGATTCCGCCGACGAGGGCGGACGCGACCACCGCGGCGGATTCCGCCGACGAGGGCGGAGGCGATCACCGTGGCGATTTCCGCTGACGAGGGCGGACGCGACCACCGCGGCGATCTCCGCCGACAAGGGCGGACGCGACCACCGCGGCGATTTCCGCCGACGAGGGTGGACGCGACCACCACGGGCGCTCGCCGTGACCTCAACCACCCCGACAAGGGCAGACGACACAGTCGCGGGCGGACGGCGCAGCCGCGGGCGACAAAGCGCAGCCGCAAGCGAAAAGCGCAGCCGCAAGCGAACAGCGCAGCCGCAGGCGAGAAGGCGCAGCCGTGGGCGGACAGCGCAGCCGCGGGCGACAAGGCGCAGCCGCGGGCGGACGGTGCAGCCGCAAGCGACACAGCGCAGCCGCGGGTAACCCGGCGCAGCCGCACGCAACGTGACCGCACCACCCCTCCAGGTGGTGCCGTCTCCCCTCCTTGACCGCACCACCTCTCCAGGTGGTGTCGTCCCTCCCCCCCTCCCCCCCCCCCCCTCCTCCTCATTGCGGACGATTCTACTCCTCTTGAGCTCGGAGCCATTGACAACTTCGAGCTTCTCCATGACACTACGGCCGTAAACTGAGAGTCGTTTGAAGACACACTTCACACGCACCTTGGCTCCGTCATCATTCAAGACTATTGCCTTCTTGATGTAGTCCTCGAGCACCCTAATGGCCTCCCACCTGTTCTCCCCTCTCCTCTTGAACCTCCTCCCCCTGACGCCCCTCCTCCACTCGAGCCTCTTCCCGACCCCCCGCGTGCCCCAGTTCATGATGACAACCCGGATCGTTGGGGGGCCAACCTGAACGCCTACAACAAGCTTCGCGACACCTACACCCTCCAGCGTGAGGCGTACCATGTTGCGGAAGAGGCACACGCTAATGCTACTACACGCATCCTCTCCTACGCTCAAGATGAGAAAGACTATGCTGCAGCGTGGGGTGTTGCTGATCGTCGTGCACTCGCCATCATCTTCTCCTGCATCCCCTCTCACCTCAAACGCGACCTTGGTCCCACCTCCTCCTCTGGACTCTGGAAAACCCAATCTACTCAATACGATCGTCAGGATCTTCGCTCCCTCCTCCCACTCTTTCGCAAATTCTAAGACATCACCCTTGACTCCTCCCCCACTGCTGCGGCCTACACCCGTCGCCTCATTGACACTGCACAACGCCTCAATGACCGGGGCACTATCATCGCTGAGTCCCTTCTCACTGCACGCATCCTTGACTGCCTCCCTCCCACATATGACACCTACCGCATCACCTTCACCTCCCGCTACCGTCATCCTCCTCCTGTGGCTGACACCATCGAGTAGCTACTTGACAGCGAAGCGGACATTCAACGTGACTCTGCTACTGTCAATGCTGTCCAGACCCGCAAAGCTATCACAGGCAACCACAACAGCGGAGGAGGTGGCGGCCCAGGTGGCGCCGGCAGTGGTGGTGGTGGACGTGGTGGTGGGCGAGGAGGAGGACGTGGTGGTGGCCGAGGTGGTGGCCGTGGTGGGCGTGGCGGGCACCCCCCCCCCCCGTGTGAGTACATCATTCGCTATGGCTCCAACAAAGGTCAGCCATGCTCACAGTCCACTCATACCATTGACACGTGCTTCAAAACCCTCACTGACGAATGGTTTGACAGTGGCAATGTTGGCACCCCACCTCGCTAGAACACTGTTTTCCCACGCCCCTCTCCCCATGAAATCCGCACTCTCTCCGCCTATCAACCCTCCACCCCCAACCTCCACAATGTCCTCACTCAACATCTCCCATCTCACATCCTTCAACAAGTCCAGCATCTTCTCCCCTCATCCACCCCCACTCCCACTCCTCCTCCACCCACACCTCCGCCTCAAGCCCCTCCCCTTCACTACCCTCCACCCTATGCTGGCTGGCCTTACCCTCCTTACCCACCTCCTGGATATGGTCATAGACCTACTCCACCAGTTGCTAATCCTGCTGAACAGCCCTCCTCTTCCTCCAACCTTCCTAGCTTTACTCCGTTCCCCTCTGCTGGATTCATAGGACATGTTAGCACTGCTCTGCTGATTCTCTGTATGCCCATGCTATTAATGAGTCTCTCTTCCAGTACTCTGCCTTTTCCTCCTCTTCATGCCTTGAGTTTATCCTTGACAGTGGAGCCACACACACTGTCCTTCGGGATGCAGGTACACTGGTACCTCTCCACACTCTCTCCATTATCCACGGAGCTCACTCCAGCTTCACCATCACAAGTTGACACACCTCCACCCTCTCGTGTCCCATCTTCCCCTCAGGTACAGTCACAGGTCTATACATCCCCTCCCTACGCAACAATCTGGTTGCACTGTGTGACCTCACCAGGTTCGGTATCACCGCCCTCTTCCCCGGTCATTCACGCCACTGCGACCTCTTTCATACCACCACTGGCCGCTTCATCTGTCGCATTCCCCTCTGCCCTCACACAAACCTGTACACATACCGCACCCCTCGCACCTCCATTCACCACCTCATCGCCCCCACCTCACCCCCTCCCCTCACCTCACCTCCCGTCTCCCTTCCCTCCCTTCCCCTCCCCTCCCCTCCCCTCCACCTTCCCTCCCCTCCTCCCATCCCCTCCCCCCCCCTCCCCTCCCCTCCTTCCCCCCCCCCCCCTCCCCCACCTCCTCTTGTCACTGTCGTGACTTCACCCACCCCGCAATTCTGCTTCACCATAGGTTGGGTCATCCCAAATTTGCCACCCTCCGTCAAACTGTCTCCACTCAACTCCTCGAAGGCCTCCCCCTCACCCTCCCCCCTCTCCCCCCATCACCCTCCCCTCCCTGCTCAGTATGCGTTGAAAGAAAACTGAAACGCAAGAGTCATCCCTCCTTTCTCCCCAGCCCCTTGATCTCGTCCACATGGACCTCTGGGGCCCCAATCCTTCCCCCACCAGGCAAGGTCATAAATACCTGCTCATCCTGGTGGATGACCACAGCCGGTACTCCTCAGTCTCCCTCCTCCGCACGAAGGCGGAGGCCCCGGCTGCTATTATTGCCTGGGCTGAACAAGCACGCACCCACTTCAAACACTCTGTCTCTCGCTTCCACTCTGATGGCGGTGGTGAGTTCCTTAATAACATGCTCTCATCCTACTGCACCACTCATGGCATTATTCACACCTACACCCTACCTCATTCCCCTCAGCAGAATGGCGTGGCGGAAAGCATTGTCCGTGAGGTCACCAAGACTGCTCGGTGCCTCATGGTCCATGCCTCCTGCCCGCCCTCTCTCTGGGGCTATGCCATCCTCCACGCTGCCATCCTCACTAACCTGTAACCTCATCCCTCCCGGCCCACCACCACTCCCGCTGCACTCTAGACGTCCAAAAAGCCTGACATCACCCCCCTGCGCGTGTGGGGCTCCAAGGCGTATGTTCTCATACACCCTGTCGACCGCTCACGTAAAGCTGGGAAGCTAGCCTCCCGCACTCTCCCCTGCATTTTCCTTGGTCACAACACCTCCTCCTCGGACTATCTCTTCCTCCAGCCCCCCTCAGGTCGCCTCATTCGTAGTCGGGATGTAGAGTTCGATGAAGCCCACCCGTACTACACCTCCCCCAAAGTCCCTAACCCCCTCCCTCTAACCACCCGTCCCCTCCTCTGGACTGACACCATTCCCCCCCCACCCCCTCTCCCCTCCCCTTCCCTTCTCCCCCCCCCCCACCATTGTCCCCACTGCACCCCCACCCCCTCCCCCCTCTCCCCCCGCCTCGTCAGGAGACATCCTTGACCCCGTCCACCCTCCCTCCCCACCCGTTGCCCCTCCCCCTCCCTCCCCACCCGCTGCCCCTCCCCCTCCCTCCCCACCCGCTGCCCCTCCCCATCCCTCCCCACCCCCTCCCCCTCCTTCCCCTCTCTCCCTCCCTGCACAACATCCCCCACCTCCCCCCTCCCCACGCCCTCCCCCACTCACTCCACCTCCATCCTCCCGGCCCCTACTTCCCACTCCCCCTCTCATACTCCGCCACTACCCTCACACCCACTCCACAGTCCCCGTTCTTGGTACCCCAAGGTCCACCCCCCCCTCCCTCCAATCTCTCACATCCATCCCCCTTCTCCGCCACCATAGCACCTCCCCTCTCCCCCGCACCAGCCCCTCAGGTTCTCTTAGCAGTCGCGCTCCCGTCTCCTTGCCCCTCACAGCAACTCAGCGAAGCCGAGCTGCAATGCAACTGTCTCCCTGCCCCGACCCTCAGCGCAGCAGAGCACCGGTGCAGCTGTGTCCCCGCATCGGCCCGACCCTCCAGCGCAGCTGTCTTGCAACTCCACCGCCTCCTTTTCCTCCTCCGCTCTCTCCGGACCTCTCTAAAGACTCTCACGATGAGCTTCTTTTCCTCCATCTCCTCTCACCCACCATCGCCCCCGTCGTCCGCACAATGGCTGGCACTACTGTCCTTCTCTTCTCCACCACCCCCACCATCTACGAACCCACCACCTATGAGCAAGCACTTGCCTGTCTTGACGCACCTCTCTGGATCGAGGCCATGGTCAAGGAGAGCAACGCCTTCATCAGCAATCGCTCCTTTCTCGACGTTACTCGTCCCTCTAAGCACAACGTGGTCAAAGGCAGGTGGCTCTTTCGAGTGAAACTGATCCCTGGCAACGCTCCGGTCTGCAAGGCTCGATATGTGGCAAAAGGTTTCACACAGACCTATGGCTCAGACTTCTTCGAGACCTACTCACCCACCGCCACTCCGCCGGTCATTCGCGTGTTTTTGGACTTTGTTGGCAGACGCGGGATGATCCTTCACTCCATGGACGTCACCATCGTCTTTCTGCAAGGCGACCTTCATGAGCTCATTCTCCTGGAACGTCCCAAAGGCTTCCACGCTCCTCACGACCCTGCCACTATTTGGAAGCTGTTACGCCCTGTCTACGGGCTCAAACAAGCACCTCGGGAACGGCACGCCAAACTCTCCTCCACCCTTCGCGCACTTGGCTTTCGCCCCTCCCGTGCCGCCTCTTGCCTCTTCCTCCGCTTGTCCCCATCACCCTTCTACACCCTCGTCTACGTCGACGACATGCTGCTGGCCGCTGACACAACTGCTGAACTCCAGGAGGTCAAGGATGAGCTGCAGAAACGCCTCGCCTGCAAAGACCTGGGGGAGGTCCACAACTACCTCGGCATGGAGATCACCAGTGACCTCACTGCCAAGACCATCACCCTCTCTCAGTCTTTTTACATCGAGAAGATTGTTGAGAGGTTTGGCATGTCCACCTCAAAACTCATCTCCACACCACTTGCCTTCGGGCATCGGCTCTTCCCTCCCACCACTCCGGTCACCTCCCCTCATCCCTATGCAGAACTTATTGGGGCCCTGATGTACGCCATGGTCTGCACTCGTCCCGACCTTGCATACCCAGTCAGTGTTCTAGCACTAATGTTGGCTAGGTTCCCAACCAAACCCCTCATCCTAGCACTATGTATACCCCTATACTTCCTAATCAAGAAATCGCTTCTTCTTCACGTTTTCTCACAAGAGGCGCACCTTGACAAGCGGCGGCCCCCCCAGGAAGATGGTACCCTGACGGTGCACGATGATGCTCTCGTCCGCCATGGCTGGCACATACGCCCCCCCTGCCGTGCAGCTGCCCATCACCACTGCGATCTGCGGTATGCCGTCCCGTGACATGCGCGCCTGGAGGGGGGCGCAAAGGAGGGCTCGGACGAAAGGGGGGGGCGCTTGGAGCATGACGGAGAGGGAAAAGCATTGGATGACTGGGGTGAGATGGGGTTAAAGATAGGGGCGTTGCATGTGCATGGTGGGCACGGGCATGGTGCCGGCACCTGCGGGAATGGGAGGGAGAGTGGCGGGACGATGGGTGGAGAGGGGAGAGCGTGGAAGTGTGGAAGGCGGGGTGCTGTTTGGGGCGAGATGTGGTTAAAGGGAGGGAGAGTGGAGGATGGAGGAGCGAGGGGCTACACGTGCAATACAGGCACTGTGAGCAGGGGCTACACGTGCAATACAAGCACCGTGGTGCAGGAGATAAAAGGGTGGGCAGAGCATGGAAGGAAGGGGTTGCGGCACCTGGTTGAAGAAGATGCGCCCGAAGTGGTCGCGGTCGGGAAACACATCCGCCTGCCGTGGCAGGTTGGCGCCTCCACTGCCCATGGGTGGGTTCAGGTGAGTGTCATGATGGTGGAAAAACAATGTGAATCAAGCCTAGAAATCTGGATGGAGAGTTGTGAAAGAAGTTGGTTAACGTCTACTAGGGCCAAATTAAAAGGAATTCAACTGTTACAACCTAACTAGCACTGCATCCCTTGCTCTCAAAGTGAGTGTGACATACATACAGTAATATGTCACCGATGTTTGCCCAAAAGAGCAAATTGATAGACAACCCTGAAAGCTCTTCAATGGATGTCATAGATTCTTGTTAAGAGAGCGCTCACAAATCAATTTGATTTTCTTCTGATTTCATGTCAGAGCTGTCTATGTTTTTTGCATCAGTGGTGTCTATGTTTCGATATTTCAATCATTTAGTTACCAACCTATTGATCAGAAGAGAGGATTCATACAGTGCATTACAGCGTGAGAAAATGCACACTAGATGGCGCCAATTGCATAAGTGGAATTGAATAGGACAACTGGGAAACGATTCTGGAAAATTTGGAGCAGGCTGTACCTGTCAACGAGGTAGATGCAGGGCAGGCGGCACTGAGCAGCGATCTCCTGCACCCTGAGGTGCTTCTTGACTGTGATGGGGTAGTACGTGCCGCCCTTCACTGTAGCGTCGTTCGCCACTATCACACTCACCCGCCCGCCCACGCGCCCTAGCCCTGTCACGATGCCCCCCCCCGGCACCTCCTCCTCTCCATACATGCCCATGCCCGCCAGCTGTGCGTGATGGGAAGAGGTGTGAGGCCGAGGTGGGGAGTGGTGGGCGCAGAGAGTGGGGGAGAGGTGGGGATGTTGAGGAGGAGATATGGGGAGATGGAGTGAGGCCTAGCCTTGTGGAGTGAAGAGGTGAACGGGCAGGGATGATGGACAGAGGAGGGAGGGGGGTGCAAGTGCGAAGGGGGAAAGGGGGAGTGCGAGTGGGAGCGCGGAGGGACCTGGGAGAGTTCGAGGAAGGGCGAGGCGGGGTCGAGCAGGCGGTCGATTCGCTCGCGGGGCAGCAGCTTGCCGCGGCTGTGCTGCCGCTGCACCGCCTTGGGACCACCCCCCTGTAGCACCTGGTAGGCGGCCGGGTGGGGCAGCAGGAAGGGTGCATGGGCGTGGCATGAGAGTGAGGGAGGGCGGCGAGATTCACAGACACTATCACTCAGTCTATCTAAGTACGCCTCACTCCACCACCACCACCCGCTTGCATCTTCCCACCTCCGCCCATTTGCCCGCCCTCGCCACGCCCACCCTCCCCTGCCCTCGCAGCTATGTGTGTGCGACGTACAGTGCGTGTCGCCTGACTGCTGAGCGACGTACCGTGCGTGTCGCCTGACTGCTGAGCGACGCATCGTGCGTGTCGCCTGACTGCTGTGCGACGTACCGTGTCCGTCGCCTGTCGCAGCTCGCCCAGCAATCGCTCCATCGCCTTCTCTCGCAGTCGGAACGCCGCGCCGTGCACGTCCACGTCGCCGCCAATCGCGGCCACGCGGGGGACGGGGGAGAACGGCACGCGCCTGGCGGAACTGGCGGGGCTGGCGGAGGACGCGGCGGCTGAAGGCGACGCGGCTGAAGGACAGATGTCGGACGTTGATTGGGTGGGGCAGGCGGAGAGCGAGAAGAACGGGCGGCCAGGAGCTGTGGGCAAAAGCGCTAAGGCCGCCGACACGGCAGCTGTCGCATGGCGATGCGATGGCAGCAGCCGCCTTGGGACCTCCGCGGCTCCTCTCCACGAAGCGCGCACAGCGACTGCCATCATGGCGCCCGCCGGTGCTTTGCTGCTGCGCGGTGTATGCTGATGGTGGTGGGTGCTCTAGCTGGTACGCGGAGTGAGGTGGCGGGGGTGTGGGCTAGTCGTGGGGCGGTAACGACCAGCCTTTGACCTGCTCTCTCTGCTCTTTGCTCTCTGTTGCTGGGGGTAAGGGGGGAGAGCAATTCAAATCAAAGCTGTAAAGAATGGAGGTCGATGGCAGCAGACATTTGTGGTCACTTGTGCTGCTGCTTGCAGCAGTGCGAGCCAAGTGACGGTTGCATAGAACGAGTGAGTTTTGGCTGCCGCTACTGAGTGCCCCGGTAAGAAGTTGTGCTGAGAGTTGGAAAAGTGTTCGCCAGACACAAGCTCGATGCTGTGACGTGGCATCGACGTGGAATGACATGTTCCGACGAACACCCACGGTAGAGGTGATTGACTGCCTCCTCTACAGGCTCACCATAAGTTCCACCGGTAAAAGCAGTTCAGGAAGTACACGCTTCGCAATTACCTAAGTATACATTTTGTAAAGGGAGTTTCAAACTTTTGAAAATTGAAAAGCTGGTTTCCCTGTTACAAACCATTTCCCTCCGCTAACAAGGTACGGTCCCCCCCTTAACACTCACAATGATGGTGTTTCAAATGTTTTGAAACAATATATATATATATATATTTTTTTTCCGTGTTCCTGCCACTTCGCGCTGTTGGAAACAAGTGATTTATAACGCTTCTGTCGTATCGAAGCTTCGACACAAAACGGAACTGACTACAGCGAAGAAACACTCGGGTCAACCAAGGCAACCGTCAAAGGTTGCGCGAAGGTCAAAGGTCTCCGACCTTTGACCTGACGAAACATACAGTGCGACAGCAAGGACACATAACTGACTCGTTACAGAGCAGTTACCCAAGTCGGCACTGTATCGAACCGCAACAGCAAAAACAGTTAAAATAGAACTTTCAATATTCATTTGTAATCATATAAAAGCCTTATACTTCTCTGCTATTATCAACTTATCTTGTTCTCACAAACTAGCACAAGGTGGTTCACGACAACTCTTCATTAAAACGCTTCCGCTGTTACAACTCTACGTCAACACCCTATCTTAGTCCTGAAAGTTCCTAAGGGCTTTTCTCAGCCCAACATGGTATGAGAGCAAGGCAGGACAAGATCACTTTTTATTTTTTTACAATACAAGTCATGGCTACACAAAAGGAGAGGAGCTCATCCAACGGATCTCTCGGCACCACCCCTACTCCACCTCCAGTCTCCGGCCTACAAACAGAAGAAGGCATAAGACCAGCTGCAGAGTCAACGGAAACTCTCGTGAATCAACAATCAGGCTTCGACCCAAACATGATGGAGAAGTTCTTCTCCTTCATGTCCTTCTACGAGTAACATCAGCAAGCAGCTCCTGCGCAATCAAACAACAGCAACAGCAACAGAGCAACACCAATGAGTCTTGATGGTTCATCATACGCGCGCGGAAATCAACAACCTACCTTTGCTCCGTATGAGCCTCAACGCGGCTCTGTCAGTTTCGCGCCACAGCCGCAGTCTTCACCTGGACAAGAGAAGACACTGGACGCGCTTCAGGTGCAATCGCAATTCGCACACGTTCTCAAATTACAAACATCAAAGCTTTTCGACGGGAAGGACTTTTATACCTGGTCCTTCGAGTTTGAACTGATGATGGAGGGCGCGCAAATCCTCGGATTCTTCGACGGGTCCCTGCCATATCCAGTACACGGGACACAGTACGACAAGCAGCAATACACGTATCAGTCGCTGATGGCGTATACGATACTTCTTCGAAACTTGACGCCAAACGAGCAACAGAACATTCGTTCTTATCGAGGATACGGCAACTCCGCCGAGCTGGCATACGACCACCTGAAGAGCCTTTATTAAGCAACAGACAGCGTTAACCAGAGTCGTCTCATGGCACAGTTAACAACAGTGGAAATGAAACCCGGAGAAAAGGGAATGGCTTATATTAGCCGTTGTCGCGGACTACGCGACAGACTCCTTCGATGCGGAGGGTCAATTTCGGAAGAAGCATTTGTAACAGTCATCATCGCCGGCCTTGGTCCTCATTGGCGCTCCACTCGAGCACTTCTTCGAGCTCACGGGAAAATCTCCAAAGCAGCACTCTGCGCCGAAATCCACGCTGAACAGCAAGACATGGACCTGCACGAAGAACGACACAAGAAGAAAGCATTAGCACCAGAGTTCGCCTTCCATACTCAACGACGCTACAACAACAACAACAACAACAACCGACACAATAACCGACAAGTATGTCAGATATATATGCCTTAGCCTATGTAGGCTGTAGTGGGGTAGACACCAAGGGGTACAGGTTTCATATTTGTATCTCACACTTTCCTAGTTCATTCATTCCTGCTGTTTCTTCACATGGTATAGAGCGGGTTCCCTCATGGGACCGTTCCTTCCTAAGGGCCCACCATAACATTTTTTTTTTAGCTGCCCGAAGCGAGTCTCGCGCCCTGCCCTAATTTTTTTTTTAGCGGCCCCTACGTGGCCCCTTCGTCGCCTAGCGCGCCCCTACGCGGCCCCTACGCGGCCTCCACGCGACCCCTACCCGGCGCCTAGCGCGCCCCTACGCGGCCCCTACGCGGCCCCTATGCGGCCCCTACGCGGCCCCTACGCGGCCCCTACGCCGCCCCTACACGGCCCCGTCGCTGCCCCGTACCTGACGCGGCCCCTACGCGGCCCCTACGCGGCTCCTGCGCCGCCCCTACGCGGCCCCTACGCGGCCCCTACGCGGCCCCTACGCGGCCCCTACGCGGCCCCTACGCCGCCCCTACACGGCCCCGTTGCGGCCCCGTACCTGACGCGGCCCCGTACCTGACGCGGCCCCGTACCTGACGCGGCCCCGCCCCTACGCGGCCCCTACGCGGCCCCTACGCGGCCCCTACGCGGCTCCTGCGCCGCCCCTACGCGGCTCCTACGTGGCCCCTACGCGGCCCCTACGTGGCCCCTACGCCGCCCCTACACGGCCCCGTCGCGGCCCCGTACCTTACGCGGCCCCTACGCGGCCCCTACGCCGCCCCTACACGGCCCCGTCGCGGCCCCGTACCTGACCTGCCCCGGCCCCGACCATTTCGCGGCCCCGTCCCTGACCTGCCTCGGCCTCGTCCCGGACCTGCCCCGGCCCCGACCCCGTCCCGGACCTGCCCCGGCCCCGACCCTGTCCCGGCCCTACCCCGGCCCCGTCGCGGCCCCGTCCCGGACCTGCCCCGGCCCCGACCCTGTCCCGGCCCCGTTGCTGCCCCGTCCCGGACCCTGCTCGGCCCCGACCCTGTCCCGGCCCTGTCACAGCCCCGACCCAGTCCCGGACCTGTCGCAGCCCTGTCCCGGCCCTACCTCGACTCCGCCCCTGGTAAGAGCATAGCAGGGCCGAGCCGCGCTGCCGAGCCGCACTGCTTTGCCGAGCCGCCCTGCCGAGTCGCGCTGTCCTGCCTAGCTCAGTTGGACTGCTGCCGCTGCTAGTCTGCTGCTGCTCCTATCATGGCTAGTCCTAGTCTTCTTACCTTTGATGCTGAGGGTCGAGCGGTTGACTTCGATGTCTGGCTAGATGATCTGCAGCTTTTCCTTCAGTGCGATAGCAAGGATGGTCTCTCACTGTTTGATCTTGCGTCTGGCGCCTCTACTGCCCCTGCTGCTGATGCTGACAGTACTGTTCGCTCACAGTGGCTCACGCGCGATGCTGCTGCCCGCCTTGCTGTGCGTAGTCACCTACCGTCTACTGAGCGCGCGCACTTTAGTCAGTACAAGAGTGCTAAGACTCTGTACGACGCTGTAGTTGCACGCTACTCTTCCCCTGCCACTGCTGCGCTTAGCCGCCTCATGCTACCGTACCTGTTCCCTGACCTCGCCGCTTTTGCCACAGTCACTGACCTCATTACGCACCTCCGCACTAGTGACACTCGCTACCGCGCTGCGCTTCCGGCTGAGTTCTGCGCCCAGAACCCCCCCCCCATGTACATCACCCTCTACTACCTAGTCACTCGACTCCCTGACACTCTTCGCTCGGTCAGGGACCACTTCCTCTCTCTTTGCCCTACCACCCTCACTGTCGACCTCCTCGAGGAGCGCCTCCTTGCAGCAGAGACTAGTATTACCGCTGTAGGCGCCTCTCGTGGTGACCCCCGTACCCCTTTCTTTGAGGGGTGCTCCCCCGTTCCTCTTTTGCCCTCTGTTGCCTCTGCTGCTGCTGTCGACCTTGTTGGCACCGAGTCAGTCAGCGCTGCGTCTGCTCCTAGTGAGAGGCGCCGCATCAGCAAGGGCAAGCGGGGCAAGGGCGCTGGAGGAGGTGGTGGGGGCGGCGGTAGTGGCGGTGGAGGCGGAGGAGGGGGTGGGGGTGGGGGTGGTGGCAGAGGTGGGGGCTTCGGTGGCGGCGGTGGAGGTGGAGGCGGCGGTGGCGGTGGCGGGAGGGGTGGAGGAGGCGGAGGCGGCGGCGGCGGAGGTGGAGCTGGTAGAGGCGGAGCTGTGCAGCGGGGACCCCAGCAGCAGCAGCGCTCTCGTGAGACCCCGTCGCCCCAGCAGCTTCGTGAGTGGTACGCAGGGCGCCAGGGGTCTGGGGGTGCTGGTCCCTGTACTTACGTCCTGCGCACCGGCGACCGCACTGGAGAGCAGTGTGGCGGCCTGCACGCCACCCAGCGCTGCTTCGGTTGCCTGACAGACGCCTGGCGTGCCCAGTTCCCGGACGCCACTGAGATCCCTCGTTGGGATGATCTGCTCAGGTCGGGTGTAGCTATCTTTGATCTTGACTTTGATGCTATTCTTGCTGCCATGTATGCTGTGTCTATTAGTGCTGAGGGTGACTGTTACGTGTGTGTTCCGCCTGACCCTGGTATTGAGGCTGCTGCTCTAGGTGCTCGTGAGTCTGCTGCTCCAGGTACTCGTGAGTCTGCTGCTCTAGGTGCTGGTGAGTCTGCTCTCTCAGGTACCGCGTCGGCGCAGGACTTGCACACCTTCACCCTCG